AGTGGCTCATGGTACGACTCTAGGCTCTCCTCAGGAATTTCGAACTGTACAAATGTATTCCAGTACAATATGTCGACCGAGCTCCCCTGATCAACCAAAGTTTTCTTTACGATGCAGTTGTGTACTTCGACGGAAATCAACATGGGGTCGTCCTGAACAGGATCAACCCCCCGAAAATCTCGGTCGGAGAAGGTTATGGGTGGCATCCTGGGCATCCTTGGCTGGTTCACACTACTTACCGACCGCATTGCCCGGAGGTGTCTTTTCCTCGCCGATGAGGTGGAACCTCCCCCGGCGAATCCTCCGGCTATCGTATTTATTATCTTTCTCGGTCGGTCATCGTCTTCTCGAGAATGCCTTGACTGGTCTCTCCTTTCGTTTGACCGGGATCGGCGGCGTCGGTCTCTTGGTGGGGGTGCTTCCCGTGAGTGGTGGCGGTTACTCCCCCTCGACTGGTGGTTCTGGGGGGTGATGAAGCTTGACAGGTGGCCCTGTTTGATGAGGTCCTCGAGTTTGTCTTTTAATGCCGAGCATTCTTCGGTCGAGTGTCCTCTGTTTCGGTGGAACCGGCACGCTTTCGCCTTATCGGCTCTCGGGGGAGTGTTCGCCCTTTTCGGCATCACAAGGATTTCGGAAGCGAGGGCCTGCTCCATCACCTTGACCCTGCTCGTATTCAGGGGGGTGTAGGCGGTGTAACGTGGTCCTCTCGGCGGTCGAGTGCTCGGGGACTCATTATTCGCCTTTTTCAGGGGCTCTCGGCCTGGCTCTTTTCGGCCGTAACCCTCTTCGGCCCTGGCCTGGTTTCGGGTCTCCGCCAGTTCCTCCATTTGCATATACTTCTCGGCTCTTCGTCGGAGGTCATTCATATCAACGGGTGGTTTTTTGCACAAACTGTTCACGAATGGTCCCGGCCTGAGGGCCGTGCTCAGCCGATCCAATGCCACGGCAGGATTAAGATCACCAATCTCCATTGCAATCTTGTTGAATCGGTCCATGAAGCTTCTCAGGCTTTCTTTCTTTTCCTGACGGACCCCGGCCAAGGCCAATGAGGTCGTCTTGTACGGCTTACTCGTTGCGAACTGCAAGGTGAACTGGGACGATAACGCACCAAACGAGTCAATGGAGGCACTCGGCAGTCTCGTAAACCAACTCAAAGCTCTTCCTTTCAGTGATGTGGGGAATATTCGGCATAAAGCCGAGTCGTCCTGAGTGGAGAGGGTTGCCTGGGTCAGGAAAACATTTAAATGTTCCTCGGGGTCGGATGACCCGTCGTACTTCTTGATCGGCATGTTTTTCCAATGGTCTAACAGGGTTGCCTCCATTATTCTTTGGGAAAAGGGATGCCTTAGGGAGTGAGTGGTGGTATCGGCCTTGTTAGCTATCAATGAACTGACGGGAGTTCGGGTCACATGGTCGGTCGGGGTGTGATATGCCGACTCCTCTTGGAGGGTAGGGGTTGACGGCACATTTGTTTGGTTAAGACCTCGGAGCTCGGCATTTTGTCGTCGCAGTTCGGCCAACTCCCTGGCGTCGGCCTCTCTCTGCCTTTAGATAGCGGCCATTGCCTCTCGTAAAGCACGCAAGTCATATTGGAGATCAGGTTGGTCTCGGTTAGTGTTCGGCCGGACCTCTTGTATCACAGGTTATGGTTCGGTTTGAGGCATTCAATCCGGGTAGCGTTCTTGGTTGGTCATGGCGGGGTTGCTATCGGGATTAGGACTCGGTTGAGTTGCTGTTGATTGTCCTTTGCGGGTTACTACTATGTCTTGGTCTAAGTCGTAGAGTTCGGAAGGGGCTGAAAACGTCTTCTCGGCCCCACAGTGAGTAACTAATTCTATTATCCAAGATCTCACTCTACCATTAATAACTACCGGTCACTTAATTAAACTATTAATTCTAATATTACTGTTAAGAAGTTTTATTTTAAAGAGTACTGTATACAATAGATAATAAATAAACTACATAAGTAAACTTGACGCACAATTAACATCTATTTTAAAAAAAAGTAATGAATTTTGAATTGAAGGAAAAATTCGACGGCATAGTTGTAGTATGGTAATTGGTAACTCGGTCTAGGGTTGTGGTGAGAAGAGAGAAAGTGGAAGTGATTGAAAAGAATGAACAAAAATGGGTCCACGTGAGGAACGGTTTGGATGAAGGTTGTTAGAGGCGTGGCGGCCGCTGACACGTGGGTCCCATGCTCTTGCGTTTTTCTTAATCCGTGAAAGTTACCTTTGACCAACGTGTTCAACACTTTATACAAAAACCTTACTCAATAAATTATATAAATTAATGTATTCTTTCCACTTTCTTTACTTAAATTATAATTTATTTTGATACTACATATTTTATTTTCTTTAAATAAATTTTTGAATTTAATTCTAACATAGAAATATTCATATAAAAAACTAATAGTCGCTGTATTATAAATACCCTATCCAATCAAAATGACTTTTTATAAAGTACGTTTACTCTAAAAACTTTTTTTCAATATTTACAAACTTCTAATAATAATATATTAATCAACTCAGATTTATCTTTTTTATTTTACTTTTCATGTAAATAGTAAATACTATCTTTCTTCTTTTTCTTAACTCAATCAATTTATCTAAGCCATTAGTCAGAGGCAGATTCTCTTTCCTAGTGAAATCATCTGAATTATTTTATTATCATAAAATAAAAATAAAAAACAACACGATATCCATAATCCATATCTTGATTCATTAGAATCTTATCTCCTTACTCAGTTCACGACCCACCGCACCGAATGCAGCGGTTGTCGTACCATAAAAGGTCGAATGATTTGTCTCCACGTGGGGCATTGTTGTACGAGATGCAGTGAAACCAGCAAGTTGTCGGTGTCCAAGGGTCAGAAAACGAGGTACGATAGAGTGACACGTGGCATTGGGCATTGGTTAGGTTAGGAATTGTGGCGGCTGAAGTGTGTTGTTGAGCTGTTAGGTTTCTTAGTTGCATAGCGAAGTTAGATAGATAACATGGTTTGTTCCCACTGACATCACATACTATTGGTATTTAGTAATCACACCAAACTCTCCACTCTTGTGCTTTGCACTTTCCTCTATTTCTTTCTTTTTTTCTTTTTTTCTTTTCTTTCCATTCATGCTAGGAATAGGTTCGGTTAGTTTCAATTTTCAAACGTTTATTACTTGTTGGTTATGCAATTTTTATCTGTGTCACACTTTGTTTCTTATGAAGAAATTATATTTGGACTGTGTAGTACTATTTCATAATAAAATAATTAATGTTAATATGACGAAGGGAAAAAATATATTGTTTAAATTATTTTAATTTTTTTAATAACCTAACTTTTTATCACCTTTGATTGAATATCTTGTAAACATATTCGCGAGATTAATAAGTTTGGTTGGAAATGATAATTTAACAAAATATAATTTTTAAAATGCAAATTTCGTACAAAATCTTTTAAGTATGTTCGATAGAAATAATTAGCAAGGTTTACTATAATAGTTGTGTGTAACATTGTGTGTTTTAGGTGCTTTTAATTTTATGATTTAAATGTTATTATGAAAATTGTTTTAGAGTTTTAAAAGTTCGGGATTTTAAGAGTTAAGTTATCTCTAAAATAGTTTTTTTAGTTAAGTTAATTCAGTTAAGAAATGATATATCGATTTTTTTTAAGACATAAATCTTATAAATTCATATTTTAAAAAATTTTAGAGAGAAATTTTTTGGAGTTCAAAACCTTCTTCTCTTTTTTTTTTTTTTTTGAAAATCCTTCTTTTCCTTTCCCTATAGTTGATCCAAGGTGATTGTTGGTGATTCAAAACTTCTGGAGCTAAGAACCCCAAGTCGAAGTCATTCAATTTCTTCCTTCTCTTTTCTTCTTCTTAGTTTGGATTGACTATAGGTAAGGGAAGTTTCATGTTTGAATCATGGATAAATTTTGATGTTTATTGGTTGTGTTACATTCATCAATTGTTGGTTGTTAAGTGGATTCTTATTGAAAGATTGAGTTAAGTTTATGAAGGTGTTTTGAAGCATAGCATGGTAATCTTGATCTTTACTAAATGCATGTTGTTTTTGATGATGAAATTGTGTTTTATATGGTGTTTATATGTTGTATGTTGCATTGCATGTTGGTTTTTTTACTGGATTTCAGGTGGATTGCGCGAATCAAGCTTCTACATAAGGGTGAAAATTGTCATCGCATCAGACGTGCCCTCATGGTGTCGGGAGCAATTTGAAGTCAGGGGTTCTTAATCTCTTGACGTTGAGCGCAAGATTGGTGGTGTCGAGTATGAAGAGAGAGAATCATCTCTACTTGAATTGACATTAAGCACCAACGGAGTGATGCCAAGTGTGAGTTAGGCAGAGACCCTCTACCTATTTGGGTTTGGGTGTGGGTTTTTGTCACACTAGGTGCGAGAGTGGGAGGCTCTTTGCCTCAGCCACGCCAGGCATGGGTAGTTTGGCACTGGGCATGGGGAAGACAGGAAATCCCCTGCCTTAATGGCATTGGGCACCCAAGGGATGGTGTCGAGCCTGGGTTATATGATTAAAACATGATGTTGAAGTTGATTAAATGGTTGAAGGATGATGATTTGTTCACTTGATGAAAGTTTTATGTAAATGATTCATTATACATTGAATTGAGATAACGTATAAAGATGTTTATGTTGTTAAGTTGTAAGTTGATGGATGATTAAATTGTGAAGTTGTATGATACTATAATTGGTTAAATTGTTAAGGTGTTAGGCATGTGGTTTAGATATATATTTTTGCTAAGATACATAAAAATTAGATGAGTGTAAAAGATGTTTTAGAAATTAAAATATCCTAATGTGTAGATATAAGTTGTGGTACTCTGAGGGTTCAATTGAGAATCCTTTAGTAAGTAAGCTAGCTTTTAAATCAATAATTATTTTAAGTTGTCTTCTCTTGGTTTTATGTGAAATTCGTATGTGGACAAGGTTGAGACATATATGTATAAAGCGATCAACTGAGTAAGGTACAAAGTCTAGGACTTAGTTCCTAACTGAGTATTGGAAGGATATAACATTTGAAAGATAGTCGATAGGCTAATTCCATACGAGACTTAGTGTTGCAAGCTAATATTGTGGTAAGCTCATGGCTAAACTATTCTACCTTGATAAGAATACTAAACTTTATAGTTTAAGCGGCGAAACTTGAGAAATCAAATTAAATTTTTTACCTAGCACTCTTTGAGGCCTAAAATTATCTATACTTGACTTGTTATGATAGGTCAAATGATGTGGTTCGGTAGGGTCTAACTACTTAAACTACTCACCTTTATTGTAGTAGATCTTTATAGTTGATATGCGTGACGACAGATTTGTTGTTTAAAGTTGATATGGTGATACATGGCAAGGAGGCTACTTGAAGATGTGACTGGTTAAGAGCTTAGTGGGCCCGATGGTCTTAGTGGGCCTAGGGTACTCTTCACTTAGGCTTTGTATGAATGACCACCTTTTATTATGTTCTTAGTAGTGTAGGATTTCATATTGTTTTGGTCTTGTATTATGCGCCACTAGTATAGGGATTTTGGGCTTTAGGCTTATTGGGCTTTATTTTGGGCTTCATGGGCCTTTGGGCTTTTGGTACCCAATATTGGGCTCATTTTAATTCTTGTAATTTTTCCTTTACATTATATTTGATTGGCCATTGTATTTAGGCCATTAGAGTAGGAATATGCAAGGACTTCATTAATAGGTACATTAGGCTTAATCCAAATTACATTTAGAAGTCATTTGGTTTGAATTTGGATCACATGGTTTAGGCACGGTGGAGGCTGAACATGTGCTCACCAAATTCACTCCAAATCACTTCTAAATGAAACTTCTATGAAGCTAGAAGCATGGATCACGGATTAGCACATGGCTTACCAAAATTTGAATTTCAAATTCAATTTGAAATTCAAAAATTGGCGCCAATGATGCTAGTATGGGATTGGCGCCAATAGCAAGTCTTCCGCACCTATATATGGATCTCCTTGTGCACCTTGTAGTCACTTTGAATCATTTTGAGAAATCTGAAAAACTATTCAGCCAATTCTCTCTCTCAAAGTCACGCAACGAGTTCTTGGTTTTAGCCTTAGGAATTCCTAAATTCTAAGCCTTGGCCGTGAGCTTTCCTTTGATTTTCTAGCTAGGATACTTCCATCTTAGCCTAGGGAATTCATCCTTTTCTTATTCTCAAGTCCTATCTCAATCCAGAATCATTGATCAAGGAAGAAGATTTGTGTTAGTGGAGAAGGAAAAGGAAGATCAAGCTTCACTTCATTTGCCTC